GCCTGTTTAGCCGCTCTCCCCCCCCAGGGTCCAGACGCCCACGGCCAAGACGGCGGCCCCGCCCACCTGCGGAGACCTCGGGTCAGGCAGGGCTGCGCCCCCCCGCAGCCGCGCTCGCGTGGCCGCTCCGTGCTAGGCCATCTCCTCTGGGCCTCCAGACCGCCCGCGAGTGTCCTCGGAGTGGCCGCCCAGTCCAGAGGAAGCTGAGGCTGGGAGGCTGCGGATGCGCCCAAGGTCGGGGCAGGGCCTGCAGAACCAGGCTCCCATGCAGGCCTGGCGCCGGCCCCGCGGTGGGGCTGCTGCTCCTGAGCCCCTTCCCCTCCCCTCCCTGCCTCGAGCTCGTCTTCTCCTCGGAGCACTCCTGCCCCCATTTCCCTGGAGGGAGCGCTCTACATTTTTTGGTGGTTATTGCTGGAGGCACGTGTGCTCACAGAGCAAGGGACAGAAAGAGGGAAAGCACCCCCGGGGCCGTGGTTACGCCGACGCCCTCCTCCTCTCTCCCGCCTTTCAGCGTGTGTGATCTCGCTGCCCTAGCCACCAGGCCACGGAGCCAGCCTGAGGACGGCCCCTTGTTTAATTCTTGTATTTGCCCATTGGGGAAGCAAAACCAGGCCCTCTCCCTAACCAGCGGAAGAAGAAACTGAGGCCCATGGACCAAGGGAAACTGCCCTCGCTCCTGCCCCTAGTCGGCCGAACTGGAGAACTCAGCCCGGGGCTGCCTGCTGGGTCACGCTGCGGCCGACAAGCTGGAGCGCCCTGGGACTGCAGCTGGGCAGAAGAGGGAGACTGCTTCTTAGCCAGCTCTCGGTGCCCAGCGGTCCGGGCAGGTGGCACCGCAGGCCATCCACTGGTCTGCAGATGCTGCCTTGAGAAGAGGACCTGGGAGCATCCGGGCGCTCGGTCTGCCCGGCTCTCCCTGCGGTCACCGTCGTACCGGCAGCGTGTGACTGCACATGCGTGTTCACACGTGTGTCCTCGTGCCAGACGGGGGACATGAGCGGTGTTAGCCCAGGATCTGGGCACTCTGACACCCCCACCAGCTGAGCGCCTGACCCCATTGAAGGACGGGTCCTTTCCCTTCCAACAGGTGGTAGACGCTTCCTCAAGGGTCCTGGGTGTGGCCCGGCCTCCTTCTCTGTCCCTGATGCTGGTCCCTGCAAGGTGCTCCCTGCCCGCCCCAGAACGGCTCCAAATGACCTGCCCTGCCATCCCAGGTCTGTCCCCGGCAGCCGCCTCACACCCGACAGGACTAGATGCTCACGTCACTCACCTCGGATTTACCACCTTCTCTTCCGAGCTCTGCCCCGCTCTGTGAGGAGGGGCCAGGCAGGAGCGGAGGGCACACCTCAGCTCTGGCGTGGGGCAGGGCGCATGAAGAAACCATGACCCGGAGAGGTCAAGGATGTGCCTGAGATGGCTCCATTAGAGAGTTTCGGAACTGAGATTCAAACCCAGGTCTGAGGGCAAGTCCAGGCCTCTGTCCTCGGATCCCACAGAGGGGGCTGGGCCTGTTTCTCTATCTACCTCCACTTTAAACATGCCTGTAATGCCGTCACTTCACCCCACTGGCACCTCCCCCCGGTGACAGAACCAGGCCTGTGCTCTGGTGGAGCTGGCAGGGTGACCGGGCCCGATTTCTTCCGTTTTATGATGCGCGTTTTCCTCACTTTTTTTTTTTAAGGAGAGATTTTTCTATTGGGTGCATGTACTCACCGGAGAGACAGAGAGACAGAAAGTGAGAAATCATCCCCCGGGGGGATGGCGATGCCCCAATCCCTTCTCCTCCATTGTCCTCTTGGGATTTTGGGCGTGCATGCACACACGTCCCGTGTGTCTGGGTCTAGGACTTGAACCACGGTCAACTATGTCGGAGTCCATAACCGTGATGCCATCTGCTGGTACCATTCCTCACGTTTTAACATCTCTAAAATTAGGATACTTTTTTTTTTTTCAAGTTTGTTATAGGGTGTGTGTGCTCACCTGAGAGAGATAGAGAGAAGGAAAGTGAGAAATTACCCCTTGGGGAGAGAGCCATGCTGCAATCCCTTCTCCTCCATTCTCCTCTTAGGATTTTGAGTCCACGGCACACAAGCCGCTTGGTCTGGGACTCGAACCATGCATTTGGCCATGTGGGATCCAGTCATCTTGAGCACCACACCATCTCCTGGCCCTGGGGAGCATCTTATGATGCATCACAATCATATTTATAGCAGCACGCCTTCTTAGTGGCATAAAGAACAACGGTGCATCTTCCAGTCCATGTTGTCTCAGAGTCACTGAAACCCTGGAATAGTTTTTTGGTTTTTGTGTTTTGATTTTTGCCATAGGGTGTGTAAACTTGCCGAAGAGAGACAGAGAGGGAAAGTGAGAAATCATCCCCCCGGGGGATGGCCACACCTCAGTCCCTTCTTATCCACTCCCTCTCAGGACCTTGGGCATCTAGCACACATGCCCGGCATGGTTTTCAGGTCACTGGGTCTGGGACTCGAACTGCAGTCAACAATGTAGAAATCCAGCTCCCTCACCACCACGCCACCTGCTGGCCCTTGCAGGCTTTAAATTTGCTGTGAGCGTACGTTTCTGTGGCCCATGACCTCCAGCCAGTGAATGTGTTTAGGGAGGGTTTACAGCAAAGCCTCCCGCCCAGCACTTTTCCCGTCCCTGCGGCATGCCTGGGAGGCTGCGGGAGGGCCCCACCTCCTGCGACCAGTCGGGTGGTATAAAGACGGTCGCCTGTCTTCTTTGGACCGCAGTTTCTTCATCGATCAAATCAGGAAGTCGGAGCAGACCACCAATTCCCAACCTATGCCCCTCATGACCCTTGTGGTCACTTACTATGGTTTGTTTCCAGGGTTCTTGCGCACCTACCAAACACAGGGCCTTCACTAAGGAATAGCTCACGTCTCATTTTTTATTAGTCAGTGCCTGGAACGGTGCCGGGAAGAGACCGTGAACGGTGTGAGACAGTCACTGTGACCACGCTGAGCCCATCTGACTCCAGAGGAAGCAGAGAGACTTGGCTTTTAATGGGTGCATCTCTTTATTGAAACATGCTCGTAAGGGCCAGCCAAGGCATGGTAGTTACGGCAGCTGGAGCCCACCCGGCTGACTACGCAGTTCAAGTCCCCGACCTGGTAGCTTGAGAACCACGCTGAGTGCGTGTGTGTGCGCATGCTCAACATCCAGAAAGGAGGGAGAGATGGAGAAGGGATTGCGGCATGACCATGTCCCTGGGGGGTGCTTTGTCACTTTCCCCCTCTCTCTCTTTCTGTGTCTCTCTCTAGGACTGCATGTACTCTCTGGAAAAATTAAAAAAAAAAAAGAAAGAAAGAGAGAGAGAGAGAAAGAAAGAAGGAGAAAGAAAGAAAGAGAAAGAAAGAAAGAAAGAAAGAAAGAGAGAAAGAAAGAAAGAAAGAAAGAAAGAGAGAAAGAAAGAAAGAAAGAAAGAAAGAGAGAAAGAAAGAAAGAAAGAAAGAAAGAGAGAAAGAAAGAAAGAAAGAAAGAAAGAGAAAGAAGCATGTTACCCATGAGGCTTCTTCTCTTTGTTCCTGCAGACCAGGGCATAGGCTGAGTATCTGGATCTGGGACCAAGAAGGGTATGTGTGGGCCGGCGTGTTAGGGCTGCAGAGCCCGCTGAGAGTCTGATACAGAGCTCTGGGCCTTTGCCCGGGGAGATGGCCATCCACATAAAATTACACCTCAGGCCCAGGGACTTAAGCATACACCATGAAACGAACCTGGTCCTGACGGTCTCTCAGGCCTCTCCACCTGTACGTCCCCCAAGGCCTGGCTACACAACCACCTGGGGCCTGCGAAAATCCCCAGGCTGGGACCAGCAGGTGGCGTAATGGCTGTGTTGCTGGACTCCCATGTAGGTGATGGCGGTTCAAGTTTCATACCTGGTGGCTTAAACTCTCGCCAGGCGCATGTGCTCTCCTCTCTCCTGAGAGGAGAGTGGAGGAGAAGGGATGGTGTGGCCATCCCCTGGGGGGTGATTTCTTGCTTTCTGTCTCTCTGTTTTTCTGGCGAGTGCATGCACCTTATAGCAAAAACCTCCCTAAAAAAACCCCAAATAATAAAAAAACCTGGCCACCCCCATCCCAGCCCTGGCTGATCAGAGTCTCTAGAGGAGTGTGGGGGACCCAGGCATCAGTGTCTGTCAAGGTTCTGGGTCCTCCGGTTGAACAGCGCTGCCCATGGTTCATGACTGGTCCAGCCCTTGTGCCCAGTAGGGGGCACTGTGCTGATCTCACAGAACCTGGGGTCCCTGGACATGGCAGCCGGGAAGTGCCTCTGCAGCTCTGGGCCCTGCCCTGGGAGCAGTTGCTCAGAACACTGAAAGTGACCCTGCCAGTGTTAGGGTATCTTAGTCAGGGCCAAAGCTGTGGGGTCGAAGGTGGGGTAACCAGGAGCAGACTTGGGTCTAAGGGGCAAAACTCGAATGACTGAGAAAGACCACGCAACTTGGTGCCAGGGGGGCTCCGAGAAATGCGGCCGGAGGGGAGGGGCACGGATCCCTAACCAAGCTCTCGCCACAAAGGCTGGATCTCGCAAAGCAGGCTGAACTGTGGGCCAGCCCTATGACGGCTAGGTCCCCAGCAGGGCCCGGGGGGACCTGCTGAGCTGATGTAGTTCTAGAAGGCGATGTGTCCACGCTCAGTCTGCCGTCCAGGAGAGGTCGGGAAGGAAGGCCGCGGCAGTGAGGATGCCTGCCCTCCCCGGAGCAGTGTTACCCTGGAGAAGTCCGTGTCTGCAGGGGACACAGGGACGGTTAGCCAGGGCAAACACCTTCGAGGCCTTCGGGACCTCCTTCGAGGGACTCGGGCAGCTCTGGAGAAAACCACCATGCTCTGGAGGAACCACGAAACTGCCAAAGGTTGGGACGGGCTGCCCACTCGTGGTGCTGCAGAGTGTCACAGTGGGGAGAAGTTGGCAGGCCTGTGTTCGGTCCTGGCCATGGCCCTGAGGCCTCGGCCGCCCTGGGGGCAGTTGCCTGGAACTCTGTCCACAACTGTTCAGGACTTGAACTTCTGACCGTGTGACTCTGGGACAGACACTCAAATCTC